CCGAGTGGTCTTGGTTCCCGGGACGTCGGGAGAAGGCTGAAGTATTTTGGCAGTGCAGAAGGCTGGTCCTCCGTGAGTAACGGTCCGCTGAGCTCTTTTCCTAGATCATTCCCCGTGCTGCGCCTCGTGTGGGCTCCGTGATATGTGCGGCCACCGACTCACCTCACCCATTGTCCCCTCCAGGTGCCCCAGCGACCTCCTTTGTCTCCGGCCCTGTCCCGCATGCTTTTCTGTTTCCTTCCAGCTGGAAGAGGTCTTCCAAGGCCAGAAGAGCAAGAGTGTCTTAGGACCTTGCTGGGAAGAGAGCGGCCTGTGACTTTCGCCCTGTCCTGGAGAGCCCTCTTTGGCCTCATGGCAGCACCGCCGCTGGGCCGTCTGGTGCTGACCCACTTGCTGGTGGCCCTCTTCGGCATGGGCTCTTGGGCTGCTGTGAACGGCATCTGGGTGGAGCTGCCCGTGGTGGTGAAAGACCTCCCCGAGAGTGAGTGGAGAGTTAAGGAGGAGGGACTGAGGCTGTTCTTTGTCTCTCCTCCAGGTGTCCTGACACGGCCTCCTCCCCCTCTACAGGTTGGAGCCTACCCTCCTACCTCTCTGTGCTTGTGGCGCTGGGGAACCTGGGTCTGCTGGTGGTAACCCTGTGGAGGAAGCTGGCCCCGGGCAAGGGCGAGCGGGTCCCCATCCAGGTGGTGCAGGGGCTGGGCATAGTGGGCACAGCCTTGCTGGCTCCTCTGTGGCACCACATGGCCCCAGTGGCAGGGCAGCCCCACTCTGTGGCATTTCTAACATTAACATTAGTGCTGGCACTAGCCTGCTGTGCCTCTAATGTCACTTTCCTGCCCTTCCTAAGCCACCTGCCACCTCCCTTCTTACGGTCTTTCTTCCTGGGTCAAGGCCTCAGTGCCCTGCTGCCCTGTATGCTGGCCCTCATTCAGGGTGTGGGCCGCCTTGAGTGCCTGCCTGCTCCTGTCAATGGTACCTCTGGGCCCATCTACTTCCCTGAGCGTTTTTCTGCCAGCACCTTCTTCTGGGCACTGACTGCCCTTCTGGTCACTTCGGCTGCCGCCTTCCAGGGTCTCCTGCTGTTGCTGCCATCACAGTCTGTAACCACAGGCAGCCCAGCACAGGGCCTTCGAGTGACAGAACCAGGAGTGGAGGAGGAAGAAGAAGAGGTTTCACCATTGCAGGAGCCAGCAAACCAGGCAGCAGGCACCACTGTCAGCCCAGACCCTAAGGCCCATCAGCTGTTCTCAGCCCGTGGTGCCTACCTGCTGAGCCTGCTGGCCATCATCAGTGCACTGACCAATGGTGTGCTGCCTGCTGTGCAGAGCTTTTCCTGCTTGCCCTATGGACGCCTGGCTTACCACCTGGCCGTGGTACTGGGCAGCTCTGCCAACCCCTTTGCCTGCTTTTTGGCCATGGGCATCCTGTGCAGGTGCGTGTGGGATCCAAACCCTGACAGGAGGAACTCAGGATGGGATTGGGTACTGCAGAGCCAATCCTGAATCTTAGCCCATCCCTGGCAGGTCCCTGACAGGGCTCTGTGGCCTCTTTCTGCTGGCCATGCTCTTTGGGGCCTACTTGATGGCATTGGCAGTCCTGAGCCCCTGCCCTCCTCTAGTGGGCACCTCTACAGGCATGGTCCTTGTGGTAAGTACAGAAGAGATGAGAGATGGGGAAAGTTTTCCCTGGGGCAGGAGCATGCACTCTCAGCCTGCTCCTGTGATTCTCCCCCAGGTGCTGTCTTGGGTGCTGTGTATGGGCCTATTCTCATATGTCAAGGTGTCGATCAGCTCCGTGCTACATGGTGGAGGCCAGCCAGCATTGCTAGCAGCTGGTGTGACCATCCAGATGGGCTCCCTGCTTGGTGCTATTGCCATGTTCCCTCCTGCCAGCATCTACCATGTATTCCACAGTGGACAGGATTGTGTGGACTCATGTGGCCACTGAACTAGAGCAGGTGGGAGCTCATGCCACACTTCTTGTCTCCATCTGGGGCTTCCACAAGTTCCTGAGTACCTGAAAGTGTTTCCTGGAGGCTGCCCTTATGCTGACCCACTCAGGACACTGGCACACTCCACAGGAGACCCTGGCCAAAGAGCAGGAATGGGTTGAAACCTGGGACCTTTGTGTGATTTGCAGAATAAAGCATCTTTATTCAGTGGGCAGTGGTTAATCCCATGAGCACATCTCCCTGTATAGGCCAGCTGCCCTCCCCAGGAGCTTGCTGTGGCCTATTCAGCAGGGACTGTCTCTCTCCTTAGGTCTTGGCTGCTCTCTCAGATTCTGGAATCACCCCTTGGAACTGCTCTGCAGGGGAAGACCAGTTCCCAGGGCCTTCGTGGGCTTAGAGGCAATGTGGTGCCTCTTTTGCATGGAGCCTGCCTGATAAATAGCAGCCACTGCTCTACAGCATCTCTTGGTGTGAGGGTCAGGCAGGATTGGTTTGTCACCTGCTGCGGTTCCTACTGCTCTTTCATGACCTGAGAATGACCATACCTGTCCTGCTGGGGAATTTACACCTGGCTTTGGTACAAGTGTTGAGGCACAGAGGGGTTGCAATGAGGAAACTTAGAAGATCCAACACCCTTTAGTAGGAGAGCATTACCTCCCTATCTATAAACCACCAGCTTCTAGTTTCCAGGTCTTTCTGCCATTACAGCCCTCGCATACTCTGTTGAGCCAGACATGCTGCATCTGTGCCCTGGGCTGCTGGCAGACTGCTGGTTCCAAGGAAGCTGAGCCTTTGCTTATTTATTTACTTGTTTTTTTGAGGTGGAGTATCTGCATTCTTTAGGTGGGATTTGAACTTGTGATCCTCCTGCCTCAGCCTCCCAAGTACTGGGATTATAGGCGTGTGCCACCACACCCAGCACTTTTCTGAATTTGAGAACCTCCTGTCCTTGACTTGGTCACATGACCTTGGCAGGACCAAGGGACTCCCAGGCAGCTCAGTCCAGTCCTGAGGAAGTGCAGGGCATCTTAACAAGGTTGTTCCCTCTGGAGGGTGGGCAGGTACTGGGGCAGTGAAGGTTGGGGTATGCTTCAGGAGTTGCCTAAGGTGGCAGTGGAGAGAGACCCAGAAGGATGGGGCTGAGGTGGGTGGAGTCAGTAGGACTGCTAAGGTCAATAGGACTTAGCCCCATTCCCCCTTCTCTTCCAGCACTCTTCCCCTGGCCACCTGGGCTGGAGGCTGGTGGGGCCCCTCCCAGCTCTTCTCTGACCTCCTTTATCACAAGTAGATGATCAGAGCTTCTGCAGCCTCTGCCCTCGAGCCACAAGTGCTGTATGCAGGATGGGCCATAGAGGAGTGAGAGGCATGTCCAACCCTGCAAACATGCACGGTCTCCTGGAAAGAAAGGGCTTGGGCATGTGGTAGGCAAGCTGAGGAACCCCCTGCTATTTGAAGTCTCCAGGGCTTTCCTGTCATGCTCAAGGAAATGGGACAAGGGTCAAAATAACAAGAGGAGGGAGATGACAAGCCCAGGGCTGAGGCAGTTCTGTCAAGCACATGATCCTTTACACACCACAGGGGCCTGCTTGGAGGAGACATCCCCAGGGAAGGCAGCATCTGAGGCCCAGAGGGCAAGCGTAGGAGCAACATAGAGCCCCCAGGCCCACTATTCTCTTCCCACCACCAAAAAAAGTCTCTTTGGTTCCTTGAAGCTAGAAAAGGGCCAGCCTCCTTACCCAACCCCTGAGTGCTGGGACAAGACTACCATGGCTCTGATAGAATGACAAGGTGGGGCTTATCACTGTTGGCCCAGTGGGGCTCTAGACAGGTGTGAGTTCTGCAATTGTAGATGTGAACTGGGAGAATAAGCCCCAGCCTCAGATGTTTGTTGGTACCAGGAATCCAAATCAGGACCTTGAGTTTACTAGGCAGGTGCAGCACCACTGAGCTAAATCCCTGGCCCTCCAACCTCAGATGACGCCCACTTAGACCCCTTCTCCTTCCTTGGGGACATAGGACAGTGGGCTTACAGCACTCTGGGGAATTCTCAACATCCCTGTGGCCAAAAAGTGATATGATGGCACATGCTTGTTATCCCAGCGCTTGAAGAAATTGAGGCAGGAGAATAGATGTGAATTCAAGGCCAGCTGGAGCTACATAGCAAGATTTTGTTTGTTGGTTGGTTTTAAAAGAAGGCCAAGGATTTAGCTCAGTGGTTCTGCCACCTGCCTTGCAAGCTCAAGGACCCAAGTTCAATCCCCGGTACCAAAAAAAAAAAAAAAAAAAAA